CTTCTCCAAGTTCTTCGTCACACTTGCGAATGATCCTACGACAATCTTTATCCCCTGTTTGTTTACAACCACATGATCATGTCTATTGTAGCATTGATGACATGACCACATTGGATGTTCATTATCCCACAGTAGTTTAACTTCATCGTTTTTACTCACAGTAAGCCACGTGTTCGTACCACTTATCCTTCTTTTCCAGATGATATTTCTCACATAACTTCCAACGAACTACTTTTGCAATACTGTCATGTCTCTGTTTGTATTCCCTTTGGGCTAACTTTTCAGTTACACTCACAGACAATATGCTTTACAACCTCGCCTTTCTCGCCACATTACCTACATACAGGGGGATTCGCGCCGTCTTGTCAATATGGTATCAGTTACATGGTTGGTCCTGAGAGCCTGTTCCTGGCCTGCACAAATAAGTGCTTCTGTTTGGATCTTCCAGTCTGCTTTTCTTAACCTGCTCCAAGTTTCTCTTACATGTGTTGTTCCGGGTATTTGTCTTAAAAATTGACCATGCAGCCTTTTTTCCTTCCAACTGTCGAGTTTCAGCTCATTGTTCCAAGATGTCTTGAATTCATTCTTACTGACAGTTTTCTCACTAATTTTACCAGTAACTATTACCCCTTGCAGTAAAACGTCCAAAGAATTCCTCACATATCACTCCAAACTGTTCCTCACCTCTAACATACCCCTCACAGCTTATTAGTCCCCGACCTCCATCCTCCCTTGATACATACAACCTATCAACATCTCTTTTTGAATAGAAAGCACCATTCTTATCAACACCATTCTAGTCATAAAATGCAATGTTTTCAGTTCTTCCTTTGTCCATCTTACCTGCTTCATACCTGATCAACACTGACACTGCGCAGGTGTTTAAAATCGCTATAACCTTATTCTTTCCATTCAATGTTGATTTTAACATTAGTTTCAGCCTTCTTTTTTACCCTCTTAAAAACTCTCTTTTCTTCTCCTTTTCGTTTATTACATCTGCCTCAGTAGCCCCCAAGTATTTAAATCCTTTTCACCAATTTCTACCATTATCCGCTCATCGAAAAGAGTTATACCCTCAAACCTTACTTTCTTTTGTCAATTAACAAGTTGATTCTTTTCCTCAAAGGGCCGTTTCTTGAAACTCCTAATAATTACGGAGTATGGTCTGGACAAATTTGGCGCGTAAAAGTACTGTTTACTTTTCGAATTACTGTAAAGAGTATAAAAGGCTGGTTAGTACACGTTAAGGGGGTTTTTTGGCACGCTTTTGTAAAGTGAACTTGTAGCGAACGCAAAATTTTGGCCCTTCCTTTCAGACAGAGAGATAAAGCTGATAAATCTTTATTGATATGTTCTCGAACAAACTGCTAGAAATAGGACAACTGTACACAAGATGGCGGATCAACTTCAGAACTGTTAATTAAGAAGCACATTGGTTTTGAAGTAACCGCATACCTACTCCTGACTTAGTATGAAATACTGACCCGATAACAAAAAATAAATGTAATAATACACTAGCTATAACACCTCCCCGCAGAAATTTTGTACCTAATAGAAAAATTGTATACAAGACAACCGTTGAAACCCTCTATGTCGTCAAAAGCTCAAGAAAAGAAACAAAATTATTAGGAGCAATAATTGTTCAATGTCGTTAAAGTGAATTAAACTTGATGATTTTAATCCATTTCTTCAACCAGTCTCGGCGGTGGTTAAGGGACGGACCATTATTTTTCTGGAGGCGGGGGTGGGTGGATGAGAAATATTGAAAAGAAGGGGTCTGAAAAGTGAAAATAAACTGTTTGCTAACGTGAAAGTGTAAGAAAAAAATGTTTGCGGAGAAAATAAACACGATATGGGTACTTGGTACTTGGTAAATAAAAGTGGCATGGTCACTCTGTATAACAAATCTGAAAATAACCGATTCTTTCTTGAAAAAAAAAATGGGAATTATTGTGGCAATTAAATCTCAACGTTACTTGTCAACATTTTGTCCTACTGCACAACTTCATATACAAGGCATTAAACGAATAATATTCTTCAAACTTTGCTATATTTATCATTACTACTCACATATTTCAAGAGAGTCAATGAATTACATGAACAACATAAAATAATGCTACATAACGAATAATGTCTTACACCATCCGTCTAATACGTGACAGCTTTACGGGTTTTCATTGAAGGAATGCCCCTTGCCTTGCCATTTAATGTTGACATTCTTTCAAGAAATGGGCACATTTCAGAAGTCTGTCACCTTCCTGATGATATCACCATCAAAGCTTTAAATGGCTCACTTACTACTTATTAGTTATTTGGCGTGACCTATGGTAATGGCAATCATTTAAAATCAGCAATGTGCCTGCCTTTACCCCGGGTACCACAGGCCGGGTGATACGAGTATGATGGCCTGTGGGAACATCATCAAAGAGGATCAGGACTTCGGTACTGTGGAATCGCAAAAAAGCCCGCTACTCCCTTTGGCTATTTCCTATCTTATGCCGTATCTTATTATTTGCGTCAGTAGCTGCCAAAAATTAAAACAGGTGAGTGGAGCGTATATCGACAAAATATAAAGTGGCTATAGCACTATTGATTAGGTTCTTCGAAAAATGGTATAATAGTACCATCAACGTACTTCCATATGTCTAATCTGGGAACCCTGAGGAATACCGATAGGACTAGTTTGGTTCCTTGAGGCACACCATCGGGAACAGGGCCCCACTCAGAAAAACAGTCTCCAGACATTTTAGCGCGTTGTTGTCTATGCGTTAAGAAGTCGGCCACCCAGAAGGCTACAGCACGAGGAATAGGTAGGCCGAAACCTTTGTAGACTGCAAAACAGTCGGTTTTTTCCTCAAAATCAGTAAAGAAATCGGTAAAGCGTGGCGTAAGAGTCTTGCGCGCGCGAAGCGCGCGAGCCTCACACGCCCTACGGGCGTGTGAGGCGAGAGAAAAAAAACCGACTGTCCGTTTTCCATACAATGAGTTCGTTCCGACCAGGGGGTTCAAAAATGTCGTCGAGCTGTCAAAAATCTGTTCGCAACTCCGCCCTCTTTGTGAATTTGATAGACTCGCGTGTTATTATTGACGCTGTAATCCAGTAATTCTAAAGCAGTTTTTAGCGTTGCTTTCCTGTGAAATGTAGTCTATATAGTGAAATGTAGTATATATAGTGGAGGATCAAAAATGAGTGAAAGAGGCAGTACGACAACAAAGCCTGTGCCTGCTCCTCGAAGAGGGAGAAAGCCGAAAGAGCCGAGGGCTTTGGACAAATTGTAGAATGTGCGGCTGTTGTTTCAAAACACATTTCGGCAATTTTACGAATGGATGGATAAGCTCGGAAAATGCGTTTGTTGCGCCTACCAGAAAACGGGAAACGTTACCAAAGTGGGCCGACCTACTGAAAAACGAACTTTTCGTTGTCCTCGAGGAAGGCCGGAGAATCTTTCTCCAACAAGAGCAGTTTGCTCTCTGCGGAACAACGGTTAGAAACTGCCCTGGGAAACTGCACGGCGATGCTTTCGCAAATTAGAGAAGAACTGACAAACCGAACGGTGGTAAGATTTGTACAGAATTTTTATCGTAAAACTAAGGCAAGCTGGTTAACACCAGATCTAAGGTCCGGTCATCACTGGTCGGCTTGTCGATAAGTTTAGTTAAATGAAATGAGATCTAAGGCGTCTGATGTTAAAACCCTTTAAAGTCGCCACAGAGGAGAATTCCGCAGAAGAAGAAGAACTGAACACGCCAACTGACAATGAACAATTATTGCGATTGAAAAGAATGAGTAAATCCCCTCATTCCAAACCACGTCTTGTTGATTTAGCTCTGTAAATTACTATCTGTGAGAATTTAAAATCCTGCCAAAAACGCAGCCCGGAAATTGACCTCCAATTGATGTTGAAGTTGTTGCTAGATGTTTAAGCATAGCTATCAGTCGTTGACAGTGCCAGCAATCCGACAAGTGATTCCACGCGGTAATCTGGTCGGCTGAAGCCACGTCCACATTGTTTCAAAATCAGGATCCTGTAAATATTCCAGGGACTTGAACCTGGGGTTGTTTTTAATATACAAGCCGACTCCATCGTGAGGGCCTGTAGTACGGTTCCTTGCAGTGAGATGGTACCCTGAGATGTGGAGGTGGTTTTCGATGATAGAGTCTCTTAGCCAAGTCTCAGTGAATAAAGCAGGATTTACATGCGAAATCACACATTTCACTTCGTCACTGGTGCAAGCGAAATGGGGTTGGCTAAGAGTAGCGTAACCCGTATTTGTTGAGTTTTTTGTGATCGTGGGTCCCCGGTTTAAGGTGGCAAGGCTCGAGCTTTTTCGTCCACGTGAGAAATTATCTGCTGCAAACATTTTTTTTTTTTTTAACATATATGTCCCCGCAAACATTTATTTTCTATCGTCATTTTCTTGCAAACAATTTTTTTCCATATGTTTTCAGGGTTTCTTTTTATTTGTGCTAAATATTACCATTGTCTTATTATACCATTTTTCGAAGAACCTAATCAATAGTGCTATAGCCACTTTATATTTTGTCGATATACGCTCCACTCACCTGTTTTAATTTTTGGCAGCTACTGACGCAAATAATACGATACGGCATACGATAGGAAATAGCCAAAGGGAGTAGCGGACTTTTTTGCGATTTCACAGTACCGAAGTCCTGATCCTCTTTGATGATGTTCCCACAGGCCATCATACTCGTATCAACCGGCCTGTGGTACCCGGGGTGAAGGCAGGCACATTGCTGATTTAAAATGATTGCCATTACCATAGGTCACGCCAAATAACTTATAAGTAGTAAGTGAGCCATTTAAAGCTTTGATGGTGATATCATCAGGAAGATGACAGACTTCTGAAATGCGCCCATGTCTTGAAAGAATGTCAACATTAAATGGCAAGGCAAGGGGAATTCCTTCAATGAAAACCCGTAAAAATTCTGACCTTAAAAGCCGTTAAGTGTTAAACAACAAAAAGAAAGCAAAATATTGATGTTATTGCCGATCTCGCGATGAATTACATCCGACTGGCCTCAATGTGTGCGTTGCTCTCTCTAGGTACGTTCTTTTTATTTTGTTCCTTTGAAAGTGTACTGTTTTGGAAGTATTATAAGCGTGACACTTCCGGCGCGACCTTGTGTCACATATCAAATTCTAACGCCCTAGTTAGCCGGCACGTATAAATTTCCAAATCCGGTTTTTTTTTTTTTTTTTACCATTCGTTGTTATGTTTAAAAGTGAAATTTTTATCTATAGGGCTCCGGCTACAAAATCTAACTCCCAAAAACAATTTCGTGGGACTATAGATATTTCCGGTTTGCGTGACGCTGTAATGACAGTTTTTTTTCGCAAAATCAGTTTAGCGTTGAACGTTCGCGTGTACTTCAAATTCTGACCTGCAACCTGCAACCTGCAAATTACACCCTCTGCGTATTACACATTATTCGTTATGTAGCACTATCTTATGTCATTCATGTAATTCATTGACTTCTGAAATATGTAAGTAGTGATGATAAATATAGCAAAGTTTGAAGAATATTATTTGTTTAGTACAGTTTTGAGAAAAATGCCTGGTACACTCTTTTTTTTTTATAAGAATGTTGTTTTTCCGGCCTAGGCTGAATATTCTTATTTTTCTGCCGATTTTAGGCTGAAAATATTCTTGTATTATTCTTAAATTATAGCTTGTGACATTTCCGTTTTAGAATTTATTGGGGTATATGTATATGTATTACATGTACCGTTCATCGAACTGTCATTAGCGTTGAACATTTTGCTATAGCTAGTGCAGGTTTTTTCGTTTTGTTGGCTAGTTTCGCCGTTCAGAGAAAGAAAAAATTTTATACGGTTAAGTTAAAAACATAAAATTGTATTGTATTTACAGATGTTTCAACACACAAAATTATGTCTATCCTTTTCAAAATCTCAGCCTTGGCATTATTCTTAAAATATTCTTAAAATTTCGCAAATTTCAGCCTCGATATTCTTATAAAATATATTCTTATATAAAAAAAAGAGTGTATATGAAGTTGTGCAGTAGGACAAAAATAAATGTTGACAGGTAGAGTTGAGATTTAATTGCCACAATAATTTCCTTTTTTTTTCAAGAAAGAATCGGCTATTTTCAAATTTCTTATACAGAATGACCATGCCACTTCTATTTTGAAGTACCCACATCGTGTTTATTAGTTCGCTGCAAACATTTTTTTCTTACCCTATCACGTTAGCAAACAGTTTATCTTCACTTTTCAGACCCCTTTTTACAATATTTCTCATCCCCCCTGCAGAAAAATAATTGTCCGTCCCTAACCACCGCAGAGACTGGTTGAAGAAATGGATTAAAACCATCAAGTTTAATTCACTTTAACGACATTGAACAATTATTGCTTCTAATAATTTTGTTTCTTTTCTTGAGCTTTTGACGACATAAAGAGTTTCAACGGTTGTCTTGTATACAATTTTTCTATTAGGTACAAAATTTCTGCGGGGAGGTGTTATAGCTAGTGTATTATTACATTTATTTTTTGTTATCGGGTCAGTATTTCATACTAAGTCCGGAGTAGGTATGCGGCTACTTCAAAACCAATGTGCTTCTTAATTAACAGTTCTGGGGTTTATCCGCCATCTTGTGTGCAGTTGTCCTATTTCTAGCAGTTTGTTCGAGAACATATCAATAAAGATTTATCTGTTTTGTCTCTCTGTCTGAAAGGAAAGGCCAAAATGAAAACCACCGGGCCGGTTTTTTTTTTTTTTTTTTTTTTGGCGTTTCGCTACAAGTTCACTTCACAAAAGCCTGCCAACAAACCCCTTAACGTGTACTAACCAGCCTTTTATACTTTTTACAGTAATTCGAAAAGTAAACAGTACTTTTACGCGCCGAATTTGTCCAGACCATACTCCGTAATTATTAGGAGTTTCAAGAAACGGCCCTTTGAGGAAAAGAATCAACTTGTTAATTGATAAAAGAAAGTAAGGTTGAGGGTCGGTATAACTCTTTTCGAGAGGGGATAATGGTAGAAATTTGTGGAAAGGATTTAAATACTTGGGGGCTACTGAGGCAGATGTAATAAACGAAAAGGAGAAGAAAAGAGAGTTTGCAAGAGGGTAAAAAAGAAGGCTGAAACTAATGTAAAAATCAACATTGAATGGAAAGAATAAGGTTATAGCGATTTTTAAACACCTGCGCAGGGTCAGTGCTGATCAGGTATGAAGCAGGTAAGATGGACAAAGGAAGAACTGAAAAAATTGGATTTAATGACTAGAAAGGTGTTGACAATGAATGGTGCTTTCTATTCAAAAAGAGATGTTGATAGGTTGTATGTATCAAGGGAGGATGGAGGTCGGGCCGACTAATATGCTGTGAGAGGTGTGTGGGAGGTGAGGAAAACAGTTTGGAGTGATATGTGAGGAATTTTTTGGACGTTTTACTGCAAGGGGTAATAGTTACTGGTAAACTTAAAAGTGAGGAAACTGTCAGTAAGAATGAATTCAAGACATCTTGGAACAATGAGCTGAAACTCGACAGTTGGAAGGAAAAAGGCTGCATGGTCAATTTTTAAGAGAACTACCCGGAACAACACATGTAAGAGAAACTTGGAGCAGGTTACGAAAAGCAGACTGGAAGATCCAAACAGAAGCACTTATTTGTGCAGGCCAGGAACAGGCTCTCAGGACCAACCATGTAACTGATACCATATTGACAAGACGGCGCGAATCCCCCTTATGTAGGTAATGTGGCGAGAAAAGCGAGAGAGTGTAAAGCATATTGTCTGTGAGTGTAACTGAAAAGTTAGCCCAAAGGGAATATAAACAGAGACATGCATGACAATATTGTAAAAGTAGTTCGTTGGAAGTTATGTGAGAAATATCATGTGGAAAAGAAGGATAAGTGGTACGAACACGTGGCTTACTGTGAGTAAAAACGATGATGTTAAACTACTGTGGGATAATGAACATCCAATGTGATCATGTCATCAATGCTACAATAGACATGATCATGTGGTTGTAAACAAACAGGAGAGAGAGTGCGCCATTGTCGATATTGCTATAGCAGGGGATAAGAGAATTGTTGAAAAGGAGAATGAGAAGGATATAAAATATCAGGAGCTTAAAAGAGAAATTTCAAGGATATGGAACATGAGAACTGTGCAGGAGATACAGATTGTTGTATGATCATTGGGAAGTGTGACAAAGAACTTGGATAAGTGGCTAGAAAAGTTGGACATTAGAAGTAGTATTTCATTAATCTAAAAAACTACACTACTAGGAACAGCAAGGATTTTCAGGAAAGTATTATAGTTCTAGAGTAAGGAGGTGAAATCCAAGGGGACTTTGGTCAGGGATTATGACTCGCTCCCTTAGCAGGTAAATCGGTATGAGATCATGTCAGCCAGTGTACAAAGCAAGAAATTATTATAATAATAATAACAATAACAATATTAGTAATTTTAATTATAGTTATAATACTTATATTGTTAATAATGGAAATAGGTCTGAGGGGAGTCAGGAGACCACATAGCTGGAGTCCGATTTGTATAAAAATAAGTAGCAACAGGGGCACCCAACGGGAAATTTTGAGAAAAAGACCTAAAAACAACAACAAAGCGTGAATAAAGTTTTCTGAGACTATTTTAAGCATTTTGGGAGATTGCTGGAAAAAAAATTATCTGTTCCTCACTCCCAGCAAGACTGATGGAAGAGTTCCCATCCAGCAACCTTACAACCTGCAACCTGACTTACTTGGAAGTTTCATAGGGCACAATTCAGATCTTGAGTGGTAAGCAACCCATACAAGTAACCCGTAGCAGCTATTCTAGACTTCACTCCCCTCTGACACCCTGAATTATCTTTTTTCCCAGCAACACTTTCCTTCCAAGGACTATTATTTCTTCCACATCTCCCAGCCAGCAAAAATTTGCATGAAGAACAGATATTTTGAGGAACAGATCCATTGGGTGCACCTGTAACAATAAATCGTAACTGTAACAAAATTTGTGATAATTTCAGAGTTTATGAAACTAAAACACAAGATCTTGTAAGGGTTTCATGCGGCTAGAAGAAAAATATAAATAACAACAACAAAAACAAAAAAAAAAACGTCGAAGAGCGTTCGCGATGGAGTGATTATTGTACCATTACTTATGTATATATGACAGGTACTGCCTCCGGGCACTGTATCCCATTACACTGTTATTATCATATTTAGAACAGCGCTAGCATTTAGTAGTGGTAATAGGACTCAGATTAGAATCAATTCCGTCTGTAATCATCGGAGTCATAGAGAAAACTGTTTCTCAGTAGTCCTTTTGTGGTCGAAAACACTATATATAGAAAAAAAAAGACAAGCTAAATAGT